AGAATTTCTGCCCTTCATGGCTCTGTAGGTTCTATAGGCAAGACAGTTTCTTCTAATAGGAAGAAAGTCTAAATGCTAGATAACTATAAAAACAATTGTTCTGGAGAAGTGGGTTAAGTCCCAGGAAGGCAGCATTGACACCACCACACTCCATTTTCTAGTTTGTGAATGTTTTCTACGTCTCTATTGAGTTTGTTTTGTGTTGCTTCTTGTTTCTTGTTAACACTAACTTGGTGAGTTTTCTATTTGCTTTTCTCAATCCACATATAGTGATTTATTTCTGTTGCTTTACCAATTTGCATTATAAAAGGCTAATATATAAAGTATCAGGTATTCTTACTGTATTTCCATATTATTTAATTTTTGTTGCTCCTTCTTCCCCATGCTTTTCTCTTCCCCATCCCCTTATTCCCTATTCATAGTTAAACCTTTCACTTCCTGTATCCCTCTTTCCACCTTCGTCTAATGTGAGTTCTATTACCTTCACCCTCTCTCAAAGCTTCTTCCTCCTGTCTCTTAGATCCCTTTCTAGTGTCCTTGTCTCTACCTACACTCATTTCCATATAAATGCACACATGCAAAAATTAGAAGCTGGGGTCTGCATTTGGGGGCCAACTTGCAGTGCTTGTTTTTTGAGCATGTCTCACTTCACTTAATATAATGTTCTTCATTTCCATCCATACATTTTCTTCATCAGTTGCATGTATGGATTGTAGTGAGATATCCACCATGCCCGTACCTGTTGCATTTACACCTGCCCAAATGGGCATGGTCACAGGTGCAGACATGATGGATATCACTAATGGAAGATGTCATTCTGTCAATATGTTTCTCATACTGGTTAATGAATAAAGCACTGTTGGCCAATAGGAAAGCAAGAGAGGAAGGACTAGGAGACAAGGAGGAAAGAGGAAGGAGTAAGGAGGAGTAAAGATGGAAGATAGAGCAGACCACATGAGATTAATAGAAATGGGTTAATACTTAAGACAGAGCTAGATGATAAGAAACAAGTACCTGGCCAACAGCATTATATCAAATACAGAGACTCTGTATATTAATTGGGGCTGGCGTGGTGGTGGGACAAGACCAGTGGCGAGAGAAAAAACCTTACTCCTTACATATCACACTACGATGGATAAATGCTGATTTGATTTCAAAATCCTGGCAGCAGTCTGGAGAGTGCTCCTGCTGTGTGAGATGAGGATAAAATGGCAAAGATAGGTCCTCCTGTGTTGCCCATCTCTCCTTAGTGCACTTATTTACCTTTTGAACTTCTAGAACTATGAGATCATAAACTCAGAGAAAAAATATAGAACATAAATGAGTGAATGAGCAAAAATTCATAGTATGAATCCCTAAGGAAGTTTGGGTAACAGTCTTAACTTTGTGGCTCCTCCCACTTCATGGAACTCCAATTCTGCCTTTTGTCCTTCTAATACTTATTCCCTTCTTTCTTTCCCTTGCCCTATCTTCTTGCCTGAAATTTAATTTGAATGACAATTGTAATAGTAGGCTTTTATATTGTAACCCCAACTTCAAAGGAAAGGTTTTGTGTGTGTGTGTGTGTGTGTGTGTGTGTGTGTGTGAGAGAGAGAGAGAGAGAGAGAGAGAGAGAGAGAGAGATGCACACACATGTGGGGTGTATGTTCACATCATGTGTGTGGGTGAATGCCAGAAGAGAACACTGATGTCCTGATCTGTCACTGTCAATCTTATTCCTTTGAGATAGGATCTTTCACTGATCCTGGAGCTGGGGTGGCAGCTCCAGGGTGGCAGTCAGTAAACCCTATAGTTTTTCTTGTCTCTGCTCTACACTGTGCTAGTGTTACAGTCATGCACATGGCCATGCCCAGATCTTTTTATATGAGTGCTGAGATCTGAAATCAGGATTATGTACTTCTGAACAATCATTCAGACACACATAGCCATCTCTCCAGCTCCAACGAGAAATATTTAAGTGTTTATCATGAACCACAAAGTTTGGTCCAGTTTTAATGGATGCCAATGGCAACAGGGAAGTTATCTACTGTTCTTTGGTCACTCAGAGTTTGTATCATGAACAACTATTACATTTAGTCACATTTGTTTGAGTTTATGATAAATTTTTAAAAGGATTTCACAAGTCATCTTAGGAATAGGGCAGACAGATGCTGCTTTAGTTTTCTTTCAGATTTTCTTGGGTTTAGGACTTCTATCACATATGTTGGAATATAAAATCTCAAAGGCACCTCAGACATAGCCTACTATGCTATAACTTATCTAATTTAGCTCACAAATCCCCATATCTTCAGTACATGGCTGTTCGCCTGTCTCTGCTCAAGTATATGCAGGGGTGGAAACTGTGATGCTCATTCATTCTCTCCCTGAAAAATTACAGAAAGCGATTTCAGTTCCAGAAAGATATTTTTATGTTGAGCTGGGATACCCCTCAGTATCATCAATGTTTAGCACCTAGTTTTGCCATACAGAACACGGAGAACTAACAATCGATCCCAAGGGATGAGCAGGGGCAGTGTGCTTGTTGGATAACACAGAGCCTCCAGTATTGTGCAGATTTGAGGTCAACTTCTGGCTCAGCTGTTAATGAAACTGAATACTGTAGTGGATTGTTTAGCAGTCACAAATGCCTCCCATTCCAAAAGTCCCCACCCCCCACAACCAGGCTTGACCACACTTCTCACCTTAGATGTAGAGGTAGAGTCTATTTCTCCCTCTTCTTGAATGTGGTTCAGCTTTAGGCTTGATTGGCCAATAAAATGTAGAGATGGTGATTTTGGGAGAATTCTGGAGCCTAGCTCATAGAGAAGCTCACTATCTTTGCCTGGATTATCTTGGGATACTTCTCTAAGCATGTCACATAAGAAAACTAGCCTAGCCTACTGGTGGAAGATACCTGGAAGGAGACTATTGCAGCCAATAACCCGTACCTGCCCCAGACGTGCTGGTGAGGTCATCTTGTAATGCCCAGGGCAGATGGACTCTAGATGAATGTGCCTTCATGGGCAAGCTTAGCGAAGACTGCCCAAAGTCCTACTGCTCAACTGACCCATAGACTCATGGAGATGATAAATCACTGTGGGTCTTAGATGCTGACACACAGAAAAAGTGAACAAAGACAGTTACTGAATTAAAATCCTGAGCTTCTGTTTCTTCCTTGTCAAATAGGGACAAACATGGTTTTTAATACTTGGCACTAGTGAGGATTAATTAATATAAACTAGGTGATATTAATGAAGCTAGGTGATACTGTGACAGGTACATTGTTAGTGCTAAATAAATGATTGCTGCTATGTAAAAATTTAAAGCTAACACTCCCTATTGTTTTTTAATGTTCCATGCTATGTCTTCCTTCCTTTGGCATTTCCTTGTTCAAGGCAGCTTCCTGACAGTGGTAATGCTGCCCCCTCCTACTCTCCTTCCTTTGACTCGTTCCCCCAATTGTGAGAATATCTCTCCTGAAATAGTACAGCAGATGCCACCTGATCATTGCCTGTTACCCAGGCAATAAATACTTTTTAGAAACCCAGGGATTTCTCTTGTCTTACATGCAGTTTGATGCTCATTTGTAATTATGCTTGCTCCAACTTAAATAGTGGTGGCATCAGGTCTTCTCCTCTGAACTTATGCAGGTTTTCTTCTTGGAAACTAAATGTAGCATTTCATATTTAACCTGTGGGAACTTCTGGGTTTCTTTTTCCTTCACTTGATTCTTCTAGTTAGATAATTATAACTTTCAAGTTTTTAAATAGTCTTCATTAAAAATATTAAGAGCAGGTGAGATGGCTCAATGGTTACGAACACTTCCCCAGGACCCCAGTTGGGTTCACAGAACCCTAATCAGATGAATGGGAACTGCCTGTAATTCCAGATCCAGGGAATTCAAAGCCTCTGGCCTCCTCAGGGACCTGAACCCATGTATAGACCCACACACAGACATGCACATACATATAAATTAAAAAATTAAAAGAATGTTAAATAGGACAAGCAGGGAAGGGGCCTTAAGGACCACCACTCAACACTTCTTTTACTTCTAGCACAGGGGCAGTAAACATTAATAATTTTATTATGGGTGATGCTGTTTCACAACTTACAGATTGCTTTCACATACACATTGGCTTCTTGATACATGGTCCAATATGGCCAGTGACAGTGTATGCCAATCTGACCCATGTGGTGATGTACATGAGCAGTGAAATTCTTTACTAAAATCAATAGTCACCATATCTAATAATTTTCTACCGAAATAAAATTTTGTCGAGCAGCAAATAGCATAACACGTATTTTCTTTATTTATGAGACTACGGTGAACATAGAAATCCTGTAGGAATCTGTAAATAACACACATACAGTGTGTTAGTATGTATGTATGCATGCATGTATGTATTTTTAGGGGAGTAGTGATAAGACAGTAAATTGATTCGTCTTTCAGCACTTTTGACAAGTCTCAGATTCTCCTCAAAATAATTTTCAATGAACCCCGAATGCCAAAACATAACTGAAATCTTTAAGACACTTTTATTTTCAGAAGAGTTTGCGTGTCAAAGAGAGCCTGCTCCCCTCTCCCCCCTCTCCCCCCCCCCCCAGCATGTGTAGCCTTTGGGGTTTAGTTTGTTGAAAACTTCTTCACCTTGGGCGGGGTTGGGGAAGGGGATGTAGAGTTCATTTGCCCTCCTTGCGTTTCCTTCTTGTTCAGCTGTCCCTCCTAACTACTGTGGGTGTTCCTTACATCCAGGACTTCTCGGGAGACTAGTGACTAGAAGCAGAGTAGAAGCCCAAATGTTTCTGACTACAAGAACTGGAGCAAAGCTCGCACGAGTCCAGGTTCCAGCATCCACAGCGACTACTGCCGCTGGATTCAGTGATGCGCAGGCGCAGGGGGCGGGAAGGGCTCCTGCCCACTTCTCTCTCCAGTGTGCGGCTGCGCACTGACTCGCCGCCGTCCCGGAAGCGCTGTGCTGCGGAGTTCGCGCCACGTCTTCCCAGGGGGCCCCGCCCAGGTCTCCGCAGGCCCAGCGTCGGAGCCGCTGCTCAGAGGACCAGGCCCAGAGCATCATGGGCTGCGAGGCTCCCCGCGCTTCATCCTTCCAGGTGCTGCTGCTGCTGTTTCTGCTCCTGCTCCGGGCCGAGCGACTGCGGGGCGCCGAGCTCACCTTCGAGCTGCCGGACAACGCCAAGCAGTGCTTCCACGAAGAGGTGGAGCAGGGCGTGAAGTTCTCCTTGGATTACCAGGTGCGGCCCTAGCCGCCTCTCATCCGGGCACCAGTGCGCCGCCATCCGGAGAGGCTAAGATTAGCCACCAAAGGCTGTTGGGATCCAAGATAACCCCAGACCCCCAGACCGGTTGACGTCTCCCTGAAAAGAAACGTTTGTATCAGCCAGAGTCCACCCGAAAGTGGGCCAGGGTGGTTGGAGAGTTAGTCAGGCTACAGGTGCGTGCCAAGGATGGGGAGGCCCGTCGCCGCCCCCGTGCCCTGCAGAATTGACCAGAATGACCTCCCCAGGTACCCCGGACTCTCAAAAACCTCAGTATTAATGAGCTGAGACAGGCTGACAGTCTGTCTGGACTGTCTCTTGGACTGCATTTCTTGCAGGTGCCGAAGCCAGCACATTTTTTTACAGTTGGAGTTGGGATGAGCTAGCAGGAGTGAGTAAGGGGATTTTGGAACGGAGGATTCAACACAGACTTTGAGTCCTGGCAGTGTTCACAAGGAGGACTGCCCCCCTCCCCTCAGTGTGGTTACCCAGCTTGCCTCTTACCATATGGCTCAGCAAAATCAGGTCTAGAAATGTCTCCGGGACATATCTAATAGCTGTCGGTTGCTTTGGTAAAGAAAGGGTCTGCTCCCTAGGGTTAGTGAGCAGGTCTAGGGTCAGGGTTAGAGAGGTGAGTGAAAACATTGGGGCACGACTTCTAGAAATGAGATGACACAGGGAGCCCAAATGGTGCACACTGAGCAGCTCAAGAGGATGCTTCTGTTTGAAGACAACTTCATGTATGATGGAGTCACTGATGAGAGCACTCTCACCTCTGTGGACAGCATGCAGAGTGTGTGCATGTGCCCGCATGGGCAGTTTCTGCATAGACAGTTTAAGACCACAAGCCATCCGGTAGGCATTCCCCAGCAGTGGGGGGTGGGGTTACAATGTGGGCATGTTTTCGAAGGAGTTTCTTCATTAGATTGAAATTGAAGAACACCCTAAGTTTGGGTACCATCAGTCTTTCCTTGGACTGGGGTTCCAGGCTGAATAAGGAGGAGAAAACCAGCTGGACACCAGTGTTCATCTCTCTCTGCTTTCTGACTCTGGATGCCATGTGACCAGCTGCCTCACGCTCCTGGTACCGTGGTGTTCCCTCCTTGATGAACTGTGCCTTCACTTTGATTTCTGAGCTAAAGTAAACCTTCCCTTCCTTACGTTGCTTCTGTCACGCACTGTGCCATAGTAACAGGGAGAAAGACTGAGTGCAGTGGCCACTGCCACTTCTTTAACTCCTCGATCGGGGTTGGAAAGCAGTGAAGGTTAAATTATGAAGTGTTTTACAATGGTCACTGTTATGGTCAGCATTTCAAAGTACCGGTTGCCCCCAGTAACGGCACACTTTTTGTGGTTGTCAGGTGATCACTGGAGGCCACTACGATGTGGACTGCTATGTGGAGGACCCTTTGGGGAACATCATCTACAGGGAGACCAAGAAGCAATATGACAGCTTCACATACAAGACAGAGGTCAAGGGTGTTTATCAGTTTTGTTTCAGCAATGAATTTTCCACCTTTTCTCACAAGACCGTCTACTTTGACTTCCAAGTGGGTGATGAGCCCCCCATCCTCCCAGACATGGGGAATAGGGTCACAGCTCTCACTCAGGTGAGTAGATATGACTGACAGGACCAGTGGGACCCTTCCTGTTCTCAGCATGTTCCTGATTTTCTGTCCTTGTCTTAGGTGACAAGCAAGAATCACCATCTAGCGCTACAAGTCTCTGTTCCCCTTCTGGTCCTGTTTTCAGGCAGAGCCCTCTCACAACTGACGTTTCTCCTCTCCCCCCTCCCAGCGGTCTTTCTCTGGCACAGCACCTCTTTCAAATTATTCCATGTACCCCTGTGCTGTGTGATATGCTCAGATTCTGAGGACCAGAGTCCTGCATCAAGGGTGTGTTGGTGAGAGCAACACAAGCTGCCACAACAGACCCATATGTCAGTGCCTGACACTCGGGGAACCTGTTCTCAGGATGGCCTGGTAGAGGCTGGTGGGTGACTTGGGAATCCATTCTCAATTCCTCTTCATTGTTTTCTTTTTCTTTCCTCCCCTCCCTTCCTCCTCTCTCTTCATCTCTCCCACCCCTCTTCCTCTCTTCCTCGCTATTTATTTATTTAATTATTTTAAGGCGCAGGGCCTTGTGCATGCTAAGCACATGCTCTGCTACAGAGCTGTGTCTGAGTCCCATGGCTCTGTTTTTACCACTTTCCCCTTCACTAGGGCTTCAGAGTTCTCTGCCTTTGGAGAAGGAGATATGAGAATGACAGAGCTGCCCCTTTAAAGCCTTGGCCTGTAGTCACACACATAACTTAGGCAAGTCTCTAGGGTGAGCACTTGTATAGGAAGTCAGGATGAGAGGATGGCCACCAAGTACAGTCTCCGGACAGCAAATTGCTGTAGAAGAGAAATTGTGACATTTTTGGAGGATGGGTAGTTTTCATTGATCCCCATTGCTCTCAAGATTGTTGACTAACCCCAGGCTCCATTCTGAGTTCTTCCTCCTTCTGTCTAAACTCCATCCTGCCACAGATAGGCTGGGCTTCCTGAGGGCCAGGACTTTGGTATCTATTTGCCCCCCCCCCACCATGGCTTAATACTTCAGTGTAGGAGGTATTGTACCCAAAGGAGCTCACCAAATGTTTGTCTTATGACTGATCACCATAGCCTGGGGAACCTGTAAGACAGGAATAACTATCCATGGTGACACTTATTCTAGGACCAAAGCCAGAATGGCTCAAATCTCTAAGGGGGCTGATATTTCCCTGTTTGCTCTCTGAGGAGACCTTATGTTCTTCTAATTCTCCTTGGCTCATGTCCAGACTTTTACCATCTCAGGACAGTTTAGAGGCTAGCGATGCATTGCCCAGTACCGTAACCACTATACACATCTGGCTGTTTAAATAAAAGTTAGAAGCTGTAGCCAAAGGTATAGAGTGTTCCATTGGTCACTATTGAAACTGGAAGATTCTGTAAGCCCAAGTTTAAGGGCGCCCATGTGCACCAGTGGGAGAAAATGAGAGCGTAAAGGTTAGTGAGTTAGGGCAACAGGGAAAGACTTTCCTGCAGCCCTGCAGCCCGGGTTCCAGTGTGACCCTGTTGCGAGGAGGGCAGGTAGAATTTGTGAAGTTCCTCTTTCTCCAGCCTCTTTTCACTCAGTATCATATGGTTCCCCTTTTAGCCAGTGCTTGCTTTTCCACATCCCCTGAAGTAAGGTAGGTTATCAACTAACTGAAATGTTGTGGTAACAAGCTGAAGAGCTTTCTGGTAGGCTGGCGCCGATGGGAGACCCCAGGGAATGGGGAGATAGTGTGTGTTTATAAGGTAAGGAGTGCTCTCAAGTGTGTTTCACTGTTGGTGACTTACTGCTTCGGGGAGAGCTCATGCCATATGCCCTAATTGTGTGCTGTGGTTTGGATATGACTTTTGCTTCCCAGAGGTAAAAGTGCTAGAGGCTTGGTCTCCAGTGTAGCCATATGGAGACGTGGTAAACCTGTGTTGAAGTGTCATGCTAGGGCGAAGGGTCAGAGGAATTAATTCCCAGTTAGTGGATCCAGTTGAACAGGAAGGTGGGATTGTTGCATATACGGCTGTACAAGGAGGTGGCGTTGTCACATTAAGATTAACAAGGAGGCAGGGTTGTTACATACAATTGAACGAGGAGGCAGGCTCAGTTAATCTTGGTAGGAACACTCTCTGTAAGAATGTAAAGATCTGGGGGAGAAAGCCACAGTGGACATTTTCTGCATAGACTATCAACCTTTGCACTAGGACCACGAGGGAAGGCTTGCCATTTCTCTGAGCCTAGCCTAGAGAAGGCTTCACTATTTCCCACTGGAGTCCTTGGCCATGCCTACATCAACAGCTCATGTCCACTCAGGACTTCAGTCACGTAGGGCTTCTCCCACTACCTCCTTTATCATTAATTGATTATATTTTGCATTTCTATTTTAAAAGATTTCATATTTTATTTATGTGTATGAGTATTTAGCTGTACACCATATGGAGAGCCTAAGCAGGTCAGAAGAGGGCATCTCACCCCTGGGGCTTGCACACATAGACTCAAAACACAGACGGTCCAGTCAGATGCTAATTCTGTCACTAAACATGTTTTATTGGACAAGTTACCCTCTCTGAGTTCCCGCTAGGCTTTTCTGTAGGATTATGAAACCCAAGGAGACATCAGTAAGTGGTTCCTAGGATGCTGCTGGATTCCACTCGGCCTGACTTAGGGTAGGCAACTGACAGCAGCTTTTCTCTTCCTGCCTAGATGGAATCTGCCTGTGTAACTATTCACGAGGCTCTGAAGACCGTGATTGACTCCCAGACACATTATCGACTTCGAGAGGCTCAGGATCGAGCCCGAGCTGAAGATCTTAATAGTCGGGTGTCTTACTGGTCGGTTGGAGAGACTATTGCCCTGTTTGTGGTCAGCTTCAGTCAGGTGCTACTGCTGAAAAGCTTCTTCACAGAGAAACGACCCATTAACAGAGCGGTCCACTCCTAGCCATGCTGTATGGTGCCCACAGCCCCTCACACCCTAGGGTTTCCAGTTCTTGCAGGGATGGGGGTGTGACGCAGGGCGAAGTGGGCTGCAGGGAGAACTGGGATTACACTTTACTGTTTGTGCACATATGTGTTCCCTGCACTCCAGCAACCATAGCACACAGAGCCCAGTAACATGAAGCAGCTAATTGTATTGTGTGTGTAACATTGACCAAAAATGTTTACAGGTCAGCCTAGGGATTGGCCACTGTTAGGCGGCACAGTGATCCAGCATCCAGTCTGTGGGAGAACTCCAAGTACCTGGGCCTCCAGGGCAGCTCCAGGATGTGTGGGTCATTGAGTTGTTGTGTGCACTTCCATGTGGAGGAGAAAGGAATTCTCAGTTCTTGCCTTTCTTCCCATGGGCCTCTCTGTACCTTAGGGTGGGCCTCTCTGTACCTTAGGGTGTCAGATGTAACCTGGGAGCAATAGGGTCAGCTGTACAACCAGGACCCAAATGTTGAGTGAGTGCCCTTGGTGATCTCTATCTGCTGGGGGCAGAACTGTGCTAATAAAATCCAAGTTTGAGCACTCTGGACGGGCATGCCTCTTATTACTTTCCTTTCTGTCTTTCTTTCTTTCTTTTTTTTTTTTCTTTTTTTTTTTCCTTAAAGGGACTTGCAGCTTAATGTGGAGTGTGGGTGTGTACGTAAACAGTGTGATAGAGAAGGTGGGTGGCCTGGAGCCATATATACCACGAGGCAGAGAAGTGGAAAGGAGCCAGTGAACCATGCCGCTCCCAAGGGAATGGAAATAGGAAGACCCCTTCCCATTCCTGTCACTCGCCAGGCTGTGCGAAGGTTGTCTATAAATGGTTTCCTCTGACAACAGCTAGGCACTGTCTGCATGATCAGATGTTGTCTTTCACTTTAGGGTGGCACCATCAAACTTGTCCCAGTGGCATTGCCCTTAGGAGGAATTAGTGCATACTTAGTGAGTATGATGGGTCTGGAAGGAAGATAGGCTGTCCATCTAAAGGATCACTAGCAGGGAATCTGACAGTAACACTGGGAAAGAGTGTGAAACAATCCTTTGAGAAGATTATTACTTTGAGAACCTTATTACTTAGCTTGGCTGAAAAATAAGTTTGTTTTCTGTGTGTTTTTGATGGCATTTGTCTCTTATTTTGAGTTGAAGTACTATGTATATCTAAAAATCTTTTTTAGATTTTTGTGAACTGTAGGGCAGACGGAGAAACAAGAAACCTTCATGTATCTGCTACCTAGATTGACAGCGCACGTGGGCTGTCTCTGCCCAGACTGACAGAGCACCCCTCTCACACCTGAGATGTCTGTAGTCAGACTGACAAAGCACACATGTGCCACTACTTTTTGATACTTTTTGCTTTGAGACATTCTTGCTATGTAGCCCAGGTTAGCCTTCAACTCTCAATCCCCCCAGGGCTATTTTAGCCAGTATACACTATCACATCTAACTTTGACATGTGCTTCTTAGATACTCTCTAATTGCTTGCCCTTTGCCAGCTCAATGAGCAGTCCCAGGAATCAAGACCATCACTGTAATACAACTCATGTTATTCTGAGAGAGAGAGAGAGAGAGAGAGAGAGAGAGAGAGAGAGAGAGAGAGAGAGAGAGGTTTATTAATATAACCCTATTTAACTGTCAAGGGCACAGACTAAGGGGACACTGCCCTACTCATTCAGTTTTGGAGTTATTTTGCAATGAAATTTAGTGTATTGTTTGTCAAATAGTTTTGATCAACTATATACTAATAGCAAGTTTAATAATTACCCAAGCCCAAAGACATAATTTTTGTTGAGTTTTACATTTCTCCAGCCCATGAAGCAAAATTTAAAATGAAAGACCTTTAAATAGAGAAATAATACAAGCATGCCACAAATAAGAATTTCAAACACAGTATAGGTGTAGTGTGTAGGAGAGAAAAATGTGAATTTGGGGAGGAAAGACAAGGATGAAAATCTGAGCATGTACTGGATCTCAAGTCACTTTGATGCTTTCTGATGCATCCCAATAGTCAAAACCATTAACAGACAAATCAGTGCTCAAACTGTATCTTCCAGAGTCTTGTTCACTATGAAGAGTTTTAGATACGATTTTAAAATGTGGGAGACCTGTGGTTTCTTTAACCTTCTTTGGGTATTCAAGAAAAAGAATAGAAGCCACACCCTTGCTTCAAGCCTGTGCTTCCTGGAGGAGACTCCCATTTCACGGGTAGGAAGAGGTATTCAGGGTTGCATTCCAGTAGAAAATTCTCAGTTGGTTTGGCCCTTTGGGATTTGAATCCAGGTCTACCCTGTGTCTTTGTGCCGTCATGAACTAGGTCATCGATGAGCTGTTTGTTCTGCTGCCTTATTCATGAGGTGGATATGAGAGGGTGTTTTGACTGGACAGGGAGTTGGACCATATGCACCACTGTTGAGCAGAACTCACTCTCAGCAAGATCTATTTGAATTTAAGCTGGATGATGTCGACAGGTGGCACTAAAAGACACATCCCAGCACCCAGGAGACAGAATCCCTGTGGAAGAGAAAGATGACTTCTGACTTCCCTTGGGAGTTAATGTTCTCAGGGGAAAGAGGGCTTTAAAAACTGAGGGCTGGGTATTTTTGGGAACTTGTGTCTAAGTCTCATAGGAGGGGGAAGAAAGGGGAACCGGAAAGGGAGTGAAGAGGGAAAGGGAGAGAGCTCTAATGAAATATGGTGTGCTTCATGCCACAGGTTTCAAAAACAAGTGCAGCTTCTGCAGGGACATTTGCTAAAATACATTTTTCTAAGCAGGGTAAAATCATGAGCCTTCTTCCAGGTATCAAATTAATATGTGCTAAAGGTTTTATTTTATTCCAGAATCAGTAGGGAATCTGGTCTCATAATGGTTCAAAAGAGAATGTGAACATTGATGCAGAGCTGTGAAGTAGCTCGGGGTCATTGAGACAGGCTAGGCAGTAACTCAGGAGGATACGCTATATGGAGAAAGCAGATAGAGTTGCAAAATTAGCTCAAGGTCAAGGCTTGGGATTAGATGGCCTAGAGGCGTGTGCAGAAATATAGGAGTTTTATTTCTGATGTTTGTTTGTTTTAAACAAGTTCTTCCCCACTCAAAATTCTAGGACCCTGAACTGTTGTTACTCCTATGACCCATTGATGTCCATAATCAAGCAGACCAGCCCTTCCATTTCTCTCTTGTTCCAAAAAGAGTCATCCTCTGACCTTCCCAGGCTTGGGCTAGAAAGAACTTGCAGCCAATTTCTCTTGGGATTTCACCTTCATTTTAAATATAAAATAAAATAAAGCTGAAAATGACTGCTTGTTTGGATTTGCAAGGAGTCTCCAACCAACCTATGGCCTTTTTCCCCCTAGGAAGATCCCATGTGTATGTTTGGGGGTTGAGTAAGACTTCTAAGCTGTAGAAATTTAAGGGCGAAGTTGTAAATGGTTTACAAAATTGTTTGGTACTATTGTGGCATCCAGAGACAGTGAAGCAGGTCCACTGAGGCTCTCTAGTGAATGCCAATCAAAGTATACAGCTTTCTTTGAAGTTTGTTTCAACGGCGTCTTTGAAAAGTCCTGTTTCTTAGGTTGTCAAGATGAGGCAATAGTAAAGGTGCTTGCTACCACGTCTGAGGAACTGAGTCAGATCCCTGGGACCCACACAGTAGAGGGAGAAATGACTCCCACAGGTTGTTCTCTGGTCTCCACATGTGTGCCATGGCATGTTCATACCCTTTCCCAGTGCGCACGTGTGCACACGTGTGCACATGTGTGTGTGCGCACACACACACACACACACACACACAGCATGCATGAATGCTCTTACAAACAATATATAAATAATTTTAAAAGTCACCGCGCTTGGCCATTGTTTTCCATAGCAAAGGGGAATAGGTCCAAGTGGGATGCATTTCTTGTGTGAAACAAGAGGCACAAAAGGTCACAGCCCTCTCTCCAGGATCAATATGCAAACTTCTGACTGCAACCTGGCTTATTATACAGTTTGCCTTCAAGAAGAACAAATTGCATTTTAATTTAAAATATGGCATCTCAGTTTATGAAGCCATATTTCTCGTAATTGAGATATTAGCTTAAAATGGATCCCTTGCCCTGCCTCCAGGCCAGATGTTCCCCTCCATGATCTTGTGAATTACTGAAATCCCACAGTGTTGGTACCAAGTAACAGGGATTAAACTCTGAGCCCAAATAAATCTTTCCTCCTGCAAATCAGTTCTTTGAGGGATTTTCTCACAGCAATAAAAATGTGCCTGTGACAGATGTACTCTTATTGTTTTTAATTAATTTATTTTTATGTTTAATATTTTTCTTATTTTACACATTGATCCCAATTCCCTCTACCTTCTATCCTCCCATGCTCCCCACAGAACCCCCCCCCCATCCCATACCTCATCCACTCCCCAGGGAGGGTGAGGTCTTCAATGAGGATCATCAAAGTGTGTCAAATCATTTGGGTTAGGGCCTAGGACCTCTCTAGGCTAAGGGAGTATCCCTCCATGGGGAATGGGCTTCTGGAGTTCGTTCCTGCACCAGCGATACATCCTGGTTCCACTGTCAGAGGTATAATATACTTCTCAGGTCTCCTGACTGAGACCCACATTCAGGGGGTCAGGGTAGGTCTTATGCTTGTTTCCCAGCTCACAGATGCACTTTTAAAAACACAGGAATGTTGAAAATAAAAAGATGAAAGACATTTCAGAAAATATCCACCAGGTGAAAAAGAGAAGAAATGATCATGATATCTGGCCAACAGATCTCAAAGCAAATTATCACACTAGGCTGGTAAAGGAAAGTAATGATAGGTCAATAGATGCAACTGACAGAAAGTAGGACTGCACAAAGAGTGACAGACGGAGGGGCTGCAGTGACTCATGCATGAAAACCAAGTGGTTCCCACCAGAGCCTCAGACACCATGAGACACCATGCGCTTGGGCCAGGGGCCCAGGTAACAATTCCTCAGCTTAAACGAGGCAGATGAGTTGAAAATGGGTGGAGGGACTTTGGGGGCACATTTGAGCTTTATTTTACCAGCCTCTTCCCCACTCTAAGACATTCTAAAATTTGTTTTGAGCAAGCAAGATGGCTCATCCAGTAAAGGGCTTGGTGCCAAAGAGGATAACCTGTGTTGGGTTCATGGAACAGACTCCCACACATTTTCTCATCTCCACACATGCACCCTGGACACATGTACTGGCTTTCACAGACACACTAAATACAGAAATAAATGTTTATAAATTCAAGCAATTGCATGTTTTTCTGTTCAAAGCAACCCTAAATTACTATTCCTAGCAATAATCATAAGTTTATTGTAACCAATGATTCTAAATGACATGGCCAGTATTGGGGGGCAAGGTGGGTGATGCCCGGAAAGTCAAACATGCAGCCCCATTCTCACGTAACACTCTCAACCTCACTGTGTGAGGCTCAAGGTCACCTGTTCTAGTCCAGAGACAATGGTTGTCATTTCCCTCAGACTACAGTCTCCTCAAACATAGTTGGGTGAGGTCTGAAAGGCAGTCTGGTCTCAAATCTGTTGTTGTATTGGGAGC